CTCCCTCCCTCTCCCTCTCTCTCTCTCTCTCTCTCTCTTCCCCTACTTCTCATTGTAATCTAGTCTATCTACCAAGTCCAGCCAGAATGCACAAAGCACAGGCCATGGAGCTCTTCGCTAACCTCCGTTCTTCCACGTCTATCCAGGCGGCTCAATGGCCGAACGCATACGCACCGGCGGCATGACAACCAAGATCCGAGAGCTCAATCTCGCATCCGAGGAGGAAATCCAGGAAATGGGTGATGCGTGGGAGGAATGGATCGCGACCGAAGATGCCTGTCATGGGAGTTTGCACCGGGGAGAGCTTAATTCATAAACGAGAGTGCAAGAGGAATAGGACAGGATGATAGCCTTACTGGGAGACCGTACCCTTTCGGCACATCTATCCTATCCTATCCTATCCCGTCCTATCCAATCCCATCCAATCCTCTCCGCAGCGGGGGTCGGATCCCACGCCCGCAGCGGCTCTGGTGCCACCACCCCGGGCGGGCCGAGTATCGATGCTCGAGGTCCCCGATCAAGGCAAGGATGGTATTGTACGAGTGATGACTTATGAAGCAAACGGATGACTTGGAAGAACATAAGCATTTTGTAATATAGCAAAAAACAAGCACAAGTCTTTCCTTGATACAAACAGCAAAACACGACACGATGAAAAGCACGCTAAGGTAAAGGTGAGGAAGGGACATCTTTCTGTACAAATTGCCGCCCTCTCCCAGCCCCCTCGCTCGCCCGCGCTTCTACCACTCCCACCCACTTTCCTCCACCTCAATCAAGTCTACACCCTCCACCACACTACTTCATGCTTCATGCAAACCCCTCTACTTCCTAAACGCCGAGCCGACGGTGACGTTATCCGGCCGCTTGGCCTTCATGGCGGGGGGATCATACAACATACGGCGGGTCTTGACGGTGGACCACTTGTACCTAAAATCACATTAGCCTTTTTTCGAACACTCAAAACTCGATCAGTCCGGACGTAATCTCGGCCAGAAACGCACCTCTTCACCCAAACCGACAGCGCAAACAACACCCCGCCCACAGCCATAACCTTCCACCCCATCCGCTTCCGCTGATCCATCTCCGGCTCCGCCGACCAGTTCAGAAACTCCACCACATCCTTCGCCATCTGCGACGTAGTAGCCGACGTCCCATCGTCGTACTCGACTAACCCATCATACAACACCCGCGCCATCGCGATCCCGGTGCCGGGGAAATACGGGTTGAAGTTCAGACCCGCTTGCACCACGGCGCCCGCGGGCGGTTCTTCCGGGTAGCCGGTGAGGAGGGAGAAGATGTAATTGCAGCCGCCGTGTCGGGCTTTGACCATCAAGCTGAGATCCGGTGGGAGGGCGCCATTGTTCGCCGCGCGCGCCGCCTCGTCGTTCTTGTACGGGCTGGGGATGTAATCCGATAATTTCCCGGGTCGCTTCTCGGTTTCGCCTTCGTCGTTGGGCTCGGTGTCGTATTCGTTCTCCTCCGCCAGCCCTTTGGCTTCGTCGTTGGTCATGATGTTGCCGACGAGGGTGCGGTAGGGGATGCGGGCGAGGGAGTGGCAGGAGGAGCAGACTTCGCGGTAGACTTGGAAGCCGCGGCGGAGCGAGTTGTGGTCGAAGGTTTTGTGGAGCTTTTCGTGCTCCCAGGGGTAGGCGGGGGCGTGGAGGCTGTTTTATCATCCATCAAATTAGCATTGGTTTTGTTTTTAAGGGTAAAGTAGTGATAGGTATGGTCTGATGGTCTGCAACTCACCCCTCCTCAGAAGGCGTCATGGCATGTGCCGGGCGCCCGAACTGATAGTAATACCACGCCACGGAGCCCACAGCAAGGGCAGTCGAGGAGCCGAGGAGTGCATTATCCTTCCATGTCGCAGACGAGCCGGAGGAGGAAGTGGTGGAGGCATTGCGCTGTGTCAAATCACCTGATTAGCCTTCCAATATCTCTCATACTGCATCCACAGCACTCAGCAGCCAGCTCAAGAGCTTCCACTGATACCCTTTCCATCCCATCCAATGCCCTTCCGTGTCTGAAGTGAATGCCATACCTGCGCAGTCCTCGTCGCACCCGTCTTCGCCGCACCGATGGCGCGCGTGGCGTGGAGTGTCGACCTGGCCAACATTGTTGAAAGAGAAGAAGCCGGCCTCAGCGCTTGAGGGAGACGAAAGGTCGAGAGATGGTGGTAGAGCGGAGAGGGAGAGGGAGAGGGAGTGAAAGTGCGCGCTGGCAATCGGAGAAGTGTTGTGGTGGTGCTCTCGCAATGCTCTCGCTCCTGGCCACACTTTCTACCACCAACCCGGCTATTTCCGTCGACTTACGTCTTACATTTGATTGGTCGAAAGCTGAAGCTCCACGCCAAGCGAGTGGCATTGCCTTTTTTTCCGCCGACATCATACACATATACCGCGTGGAGTATTCGGTAGGAGGATATGGACGGGTCTACCCAGTACTGGGGGAAGACTATGAGCAAAGCCAAGTGTCTATTGAAATGAGCATCCGAGGGTCGACGAGATCGACGGACAATCGAGTGATACGACAGGAGGACGACGATCAAGGCCGGGTATACATTTGGTTGATGATATGCTACAGATGTGGATTTGGTAATGGTCTACGTACAAAGCTGCCATCGTTGTACTCTCTCGCTCGACAGCCGGTGACACGCTGTTGCCGAGAACTCGTACGAGTCCCTTAGCTCCCATAGTCAAGTCACTGCTGTTCGTCCCCGCCCACCGCTCTCACGTAGTCCAAACCCAGCACATCTGCCACCGAACCACGATCTCACAACACGACTTCTCCATCCTCCAGATCTACAGGCAAAGCAAGCATTTCCCAATGCAAGTCCCACAGGCGGAGGAAACGCACAGTCGGACGCCGCCGCCCTCACAAGAACCCACCAGCTCGGCTTCATACCCAACTTCATCATGAATCCCATCCATTCCAGCCCTCCGGTAGGCTCACCCCCCCTCCGCCCGTCCATTCCTGATATCCCTCCTCCCCCTCCTCCTCCGTGCAGCAGCTGCCGCATGTCTTCGTGCCCGTTTACTCCTCACTCTGCCATCCTGGCCCAACATCTTCACCCCACTCGCCCCACTCGCAGCACTAACCATACTCTCATCCCCCACCCCGACCACCTCTTCATCCATCTCAAAGACCTCCTCAATCCTCCCCGACCCAATCTCAGGCACAACCTCCCACGGCTCGCGTCTCGGCACCACCACCGCCCCCCCACCCGTCTCCGTCTCCGGCAACAAACTCCCATCCGCGAAGTAATCTGGCCTTCTCAGGTCACGATAGTAAATCATCGTCTCCAACCCCCTCATAAGTCCCGCTTCAAGTTCAGATCCCTTCTCAGCATTGAGGAGATCGCGTTTGATCGTCAACCACCGCACATGCCACTCCAGCACCTCCTCCGCCGCATGCCGAAACACGCGGTTTACGGTGGAGACGATGCGGGCGGGTTTCATGTCCGGACGGAGGTAGCGGAGGAGTTGCAAGCGGCCATCGTGTTCGTTATAGTATTGGACTCCTTCGCGGTCGGCGAGGCGGATGAGGTCGTTTTCGGCACCTTCGGAGGAGAGGGTTTCGTGGGCGGAGTGGTGATTTCCGTCTTCCTCTTCCTCTCCTTCTGCATCTTCGGCTTCGGCTTCGACTGCATGTTCGCTCGCCGCTTCTTTCACATCAAGCTGAGGTGGCGAGGTCTTTGTGTCGTGCCTCTCTTCCTCCTCCTCCTCCTCCTCCTCCTCCTCCTCGACCTCTTCTTCGAGATCCCGCTGTCGGCCTAAAAAAGCAACCGGGATAACAACTTCCGGATGCACAAGGACAGCATTCTTCTCCTCCACTTCATCACCATCAACATCATCCTCCTCTCTCTTCTCCACCACATCCAAGTCCGCAACCGCCGAATCCGGATCGTCCTGGTCGCTCTCACGAACTTCTTCTTCTTCTTCTTCTGCTGCTTGCTCAGCTACCTCGTGCCCGGCACACGCAGGCTCATCCTCCTCGTGCTCTTCCTCCGCTACCTCCCCCTTGACCGCGACCTGCTCCTCAGCAACTTTATCCCGCACAGGCTCGAACGCATCTTCCTCCTCCTCCTCGTCCTCAATCGCATCCCCCTCCCCCTCCCTCACCTCCACCCCCCGTCCACTCCCAGACCCCCTCGCACCCCCCTCCTCAGACTCCGCTCCCCTAACAAACACCTCCGGCCGACTCCTCTGCAGCAAAAGCTTTCTCGCTCGGATCCCACTCGCTGTACGATTGAGATCATACCTCTTCCGGATCTTCTCGGCCGTCAAGCCCGCTGCGAAGCCCGCGCCGATGATTCGGTCTTCGTCGTCTTCCCAGCAGACTTTGGTGAAGGTTTGGCCTGAGCGGCCGGGGCGGGATAGGTCTGGCGTTGAGGTTTCGGTGGAGGGGATTAGTCCCGCTTTTCGACGAGGTCGGACGGATGCTGGTGGTTTCGAGCGTTGAGACGATTGCGGCGGTTGCTGTGGTGTTTGGGTTGGTGGTTGGACGGATGCTGAGGATCGTTGGGAGGAGTTTGGAGGTGGCATCTGTTGTCGCTGCTGAGAGCTCATGATCTCGAAGGCATTGTGTTCGCTTTCCAGCTCCGCGGCGACTTCTTCATTTGACGAGAAAGTCTGCAGGAGATCCTCGTCATAGCTGCTTTGTGGGGCACATTGGAGTGGTGATGATCGAGGAGGACGTTGTGCAGATGTCGGCGGAGGAGGCATACTAGAATTCCTCGGCGTGGGGAGTGAAGCTTGTGAATCTATGACCCTGGTCTCCACCTCATTTGGTTTCCGTGTACCATCGGCAGCACGCATGAAGACAGCTTCGCCATCCTTCTCATATGCCGTCTTGAGCACCTTGAACGCCTGCTTCTCGGCCACGCTGAGATTGTCAAACTTCCGCTTGTCGCACATCGCAGGTCGCAAAGGCGAGTCCGAAGGCAAGGTATCCTTACTATCCAACCAATCCTGATACAGAGTAAAGCTCCGCTCAGCAGCCGGTGTGCTCTCCGTCATGAGCTCACCCAGCTTCATCGACATGGCGATATCCAAGCCCTCGGAGTCCTTGACGCGATTGAAGTAGGTCATGGTCGTATCGATGCCATAGAGCTTCTGCAGTTGCGCCTCGGCTTTGGTGACGATGTCCTGCACCGTCTCGTCCAGCTCGGCCGTGACGGCATACTTGTGCGATGGCTCGGGTGCTCGGCGATTGAATGGGGTGGCGCTGAGGGATCCCAAGGGACGCTTCAAGGGCATCACGTGGATTGCGCACTTCATCTTGGTAGGTCTTCCAAGCGTGTCGGGTTCGCGTCCGGTCGCGTAAAGTGGTGTCCAAGGAAGCGTGTCCGAGGTTTTAGTGAGGGTCACTATGTCGCGAGGCGATCACGAGGTGTAGCATGTCGCCGGGAGTACGGAGGTCACGATATGCAATGTGGTCTGAAGAGAGTGACCATACCTGAATTTTGGTGGCCGGTCGACTCGCGAAAGAAGCACGATGGAGCTTGGGCCATGACCGCGCTAACTCGTCTCTATGAGATTGTGGGGAGATCGGGGATCTGCTTCACACTCGCAACACGCCCACACTACTACAACGATCTGAGTCATGATGAGCACCATCCCATCAGTAGCCGTGGGGTTTGCACACATAGGCGACAGGTAGGAGCATGAACGCCTGCTATGAACCTCTCGCTCCCCATCTCCACTCACCACTAGCATTCTTCAGACATGGCGGAGCATTTCAAAATCGAATTCGCCACGGAAGAAGACATCCCCGAATTAATGAAGATAGTAGCCCAATCCTTCGGCGACTACCCAGTCGAACAAGCCTTTGGTAACATCGACACTCAGGAAGCACGTAAGGCTTCTGGTCGGCGACATCTCCGTGCCTGGCGGGACCACATGGAAGAATCGAGGCAGTACCCCGCGATCAAATGCGTGCATACAGATCCTGACACCGGCAAGAAGACCATTGTGGGGTTTGCAGAATGGTTCATCTACGACCGCCTCCGCACCCCTGAGAAGATGGAAGAGTGCAATTCCCTCCTCTCCGGCGCCTGGCTACCGGAAGAGACTGGCCAGAGAGTTCGAAACTGGATGCAGCCTCTTTACGACGCTCGCAGAAGATGGCTCAGCGGCCGGCCTCACGCGGTATTAATGTACATGTGCGTCCACAAAGCGTGGCGGAGACGAGGCGTGGCGACGATGTGCATACAGCATGGATTAGACCGGTGTCAGGAATTGAGTGTCCCTGCGTGGCTTGAGGCGAGCGCGGAAGGGGAGCCGGCGTATAGGCGGTTGGGGTTTGTGGAGGTGGAGAAGGTGAGTTTTTGGATCGAGGGGGAGGAGGCGAGGTTTCCGGTTATGGTTTGGTGGCCGCCTGGGTGGAGGGTGGAGGAGAGGGTGGCGGCTTTGCCGTGATTGTGAGTATGAGACGGGGAAGGTTTGGCGTAGATGCGGTGGAGTATAGGTGGCTAACATCGTGATATGTACTCTGCAGAAGCAGCTTCGCAATCGGAAAGGATATAGATGCATGGCGGTCTTTGCGGTCTCTTGATCTTGGCGGGGGCAAATACATTGAAGCGGCAACTCTGGTCGATCAGATCCTACGTAGCGTTCACCCATCTCAGCACTTGAGCACTTCAGCTCGATCATACTGCATCCACCATCCCAGAAATCCCTCTCATCTCACCCTACGTGAAAACGACTGATGGCTTGCAAAGGGACATTAAAAGCCGTGGTCGATCCAGTTCAGACATGACGTCTTTTCCATGGCTCGCACCAGCGTTTCACTTTCTGGGTGAGGCTGAATTTTAAGGTTCACAGTACTGTCCAACCTCACCTCTGTCCGCCGTGACGGCAATGAGTCCTTACCATTTCTCTCGGATCTCTTGTGGTACTGCGTCTATTCATTTATATCAGACGGGTTTGCTGCACTAGCTGACTCAGGCAGGGTCTCTGCTGTAGCTACACACAGTCGTGTTACGGTGTAAACTGTAAAGTGGCACGGCTTGTTTGTTGCAAGTTAAGCTTTTGATCGACTCGCGCGAAGGATGCACGACATGGGACGATCAGCGGCAGTGCTGGTGCTGGTTGGGTTATGCATAAGCAAGATGACTGATTGAGCCACCGCTCCAGACCTTGAAGAGTTGAGGCTTCCCCTCCTGCTTTTGCGAAGTCGGATTTGCATACGACTTGCGACTTTCAGCGACGCGAGCATGGCTATGCGATGGCAGAGCGCGATTCTACTACTACCGGCCCTACTTGAATGCACGTGGGCAGCGGATACGAGCAGTAGCTACTCGAACAGCACCCAGAGTACATTTCATGGCTGCCTGGGTAGACTCAAGACACTGCTGACATATTCTAACAGCATCAAATGCATCACCCATCACAACATCTTCCGCTTCCGGCATCTGGACAGTTCCGGCGACCGGCAATGGTATGGTAGCTGCCAGCGATCCTGGAGAGCACTAATAACACATGCTCACAGGCTCAAGCTACGACTGGGGATGCAACAGCGAATGGTCGAACTACACCTACCTAGCCAGCAGCGGCGGCTTCGGTGGCCATAATGTCACGTCCACGTACCTAGCCACACAATTCACCGCCTCCACGACACAGCTCTGCGATGGCCATAACCGCATCATCGGCACGCTCACGCCCACGGCCAGCTCCACATTTACGACCGTGGACTATGCATTCCTGAATTATACTGGTCCGCCTCCCAGCTGCACGATTGCTCCGCCGGACTGCACGTCTATGTGGGATCAGTACAACTCTGCGGTATCATCGTTCAGTAGTATGGCGAGTGTTTATTTCTCGACACGGACCGATAGTAGTGCACCTGTTCCAGGCGGCATCACAGTTGATCTGCCGCAGTGTAGCCAGACTGCCTTGCCGACGACTACAGGTGTGAGCTGTGGTGCTTGCACGATTTATGGCGGGAGTGTGCAGCTGCTCTACTTTCCTGTCGGTAGACTCCAGCCGCCCTGCTGATGTTCATGCTGACGCTGCTTTATCACAGGTCACCACCAGTTATACCCGCAACATGTGCGCCACAACTTTGGGTGCCTCGACGGTCTGTCCTTATGGCCAGGTAGTCTCCAATTATACAGCAGCTGGAGCGGGCGGCCAGGCCACTGGTGCCTGCGAATACATGTCTGCGACTCAATCGAGTGTGCCGGACTCTGGGCCATCCGTGGTGTCAAACGGCCAGACGTACTACGAGAACAAAGCATACATTTCCTACCAAACAGCATACGCGTCGAACTCCTGTGGCAGGATCGGAAACACATACGCTGGTGGCGTCGTTGGTCTGCCTTCTTCGTCCGTCTACAGCATATCTGGATACCACGGCGAGCTCTACGACTATGCCTATCAAGTCAACTTCGCCGACTTCATCCATCCCATCCCGGCAAGCGCCTACTATGCCATGGCCCAATGCACGGACTCGGGCAACATTAAATCACTCGGGTATCCAAATATGGTCAACAACAAAACCCTAGCACAAATTTGCAGAGACCCAGGATATCTGATCTACGACGGGCTGTTCGCACCAGAATTAGCAGTTCCGCCGGCGTTTCGGGACCTGGATCCTGCATGGTCGAACTGCTTGCTTAGCTTGAATGGGCTGTGGGATCCTCCAAAAGCACTGCAGCCTGTGAGTACAGAAGCGGGGCCGACTACGCCTGGGCAGGGTAACACCGCTACGAGCTCTGCCACGCCGGCACAGTCGCCTGAGACGCCTGCTACTACCACTACTGGAATTCCGGTGACAACGACACTGCCTCCTATAGAGAGTCAGGTGGTTGGGTCTGGTTGGACTTCGTCACAGGGAAACACTGCTCCTGCTGCGCCTTCGTCAACAGCCAATGTTGGGGATGTGATTGCTTCTATTATTGCTATGTCTGGGAAGTCGGCGACTGAGACCGCCTCAGCACAGGGCTCTGGGAATGGAAACAGCCAGCCACAAGCTAACACGGGTACTGGCACTTTCGAAGGTCCGGCTGTGATCGTGAGCAGCTCCCAGGTTGGCTCGAGCGCTGGCAGTGGAGGTATCGCTACAGCAGCTGGTCAAGTCTTCTCTGTCGATCCCGCGAACACGAACGGAGTAATCGTAGCAGGCCAGACTTTGACTCCGGGTGATGCGACTGTTATCAGCGGAGCCCAGGTCTCTGTTGCGACTGGGGTGTTGGTTGTCAATGGGTCGAGCGTCAGCATTGCTCCGGCAGCTAGTTCGACAAGCAAGAGTTCAGCCACGACAGGTGGCTCGTCGAGTGGAGGTAGTGGAGGTCCTCAGGCGGCCGCTACTGTTTCGACAAATGGAGCAGGACCGGCTTTGTTGCCTGCCAATGTGCTGCTCAGTGGACTTGTGGGCTTTACAGCAATAACAGCGATGATATTGTTATGAGGCTTACCGCAGACGTGGTATATACACATATGTTATTACATAGATCAAGTATGATATTATTCAGGCCAATGTCCACAGCGGGCCGCAATGGCTCGAGAAATGCAAACATCATGACTCCACCTTCATAATCTGATCTGTGACCGTACATTCTCCACTCGAGAGCGGAGGAGTAGCAAGCCGTCCTCCAAACCGTCCAACAACACTCCCAATCTCCCCGACAAGCGCCTTCATTCCCTCAAGCTCAGCCCACAACGTCTCAACCGTCGTCTCAAGCGCCCGGCACTGAGTCTCCAGCTCATCGACCCTACAATCACAGGCCCGCTGGTCCGCTATAACTTGAGCGAGCATCACCCCTCCCTCATCATCTTCCTCCTCAGGTACGACTTTCGCCGCACACCCTCCTTTACTCATGCGTTTGCAATAAGCACACGCCTCATCTTCCCGGGTGGCGAAGACGCGACATTCCAGTCCACGGTTCACACACCATTTGCACGGGGCGAGGGCGGGCATGCCTTCGTCTGTTTCCATGATGCGGCCCGCTTGGTCGTATTTGCGGATGGTGTTCAGAACTGCTTTTTTGGTGCCGGTGGCGTTGGTGGAGTCTGCTAGGAGGTTTTGCCAGTTTGTCGGGTTGATTTACCAGAAGTCTGTGCTGTCTGTTGTGGTTGGGCGGCGGCGGAGGCTGGCAGGAGGTTAGTATTTAGCTATTTGTTTTAGGGTGAGGTGTTGGAGGATGTACTGAGGGGTTATGTCTGACATCGCTGCGTTATGTACGCTCTCGATGAATCTCATGAGGACTTGTGGAGGATTTGCGCGCCGGGTTGTTTTGTCAGGATAAGAAACAGATTGTTGCATGGAGTTTGGAGGTGCGGGAAAGGGTCAGTGGGAGCGGTGACTGATCATCCCAGATGGTCGTAGTCGATTGAGCGATCTATCACAAACCTTCATGCGCGTCCAGCTAGATACAATGTGTTATGCCGACTGACTGCTCCCACATTGACAGCGGAGTCGCTAACGTATCACACGTCGCATACATGTTCGCTGACACGCCTGCGTTTCTACACATCAAGATGACTATATGGTATGGACAGGCAGTCGAGAGGTCGGAGAAAGTCTTGGCATTCCCGAGCGATACGGCTCGAGCGTCTGGAGATAGATGAACATACATTGCATACCATTCGCCATTGTTGACCCGTCATGTCTAACACCATCTGCTTACGCTGCTTGACACGCGCGTTGCCGTCTCCCATTGTCTCGAGCGCCTCTAACACCGCCCACCGCGCCGCCTTCTCCACCACCACATCACTTTCCGCCAACCCACCCAAAAAGAAGGCATCTGGCGGCGCAAAACCAGTGACCAAAGCCGGCAAGACGCTCCGATTATCCAAGAACAAGCGCGTCACTACAGCACGACCACCAGCTTCGGGCGAGCGAAAAGCATTACGGAAGAAGATAGTCTTGAGCAATACCAATGCGTTGGAAGTGCAAGGGCTAGTGGATTTGTCGGCTGAGAACGTGGGTGGTGCTGGCAAGCTACGATCGCTAGAAGGCCGTGTGATAGGTTTGAGCGATGACACGGTAGAGGCGCTACGGGCACTGGAAGCATTCAAGCCAGGTCAGGGATGGGGTCTGTTCCGGCGGCCAGCAGCATTGGTGCGGAGAGAAACAGTGGAACTTGGTGAGGCACTGCAGGGCGTTTTTGAGAGCAAGAATGTCACGTGGCAGATGATATACGGTGCGCGAGGGAGTGGAAAGAGTGTACTTTTGTTACAGGGCATGGCCATGGCATACTTACAGGGCTGGGTTGTCATCCACTTCCCAGAAGCACGAGCGATGACGAATGCGCAGACGAGCTATCAGCCGTACAAGACCCCGGAAGGCGAGACGATCTACATCCAACCACATTACACTGCGCAACTCCTACTTAACATCAGTAAAGCCAATCGACGCCTACTCAACAGCCTTCGCATCAGCAAGAAGCACGACCTGCCTATCCCGCTTCAATCGAACATCTCTCTTGCGAGATTGGCAGAACTCGGCGCCGACGACCCGACACTTGCGTACCCAATCTGGCAGGCTCTCTGGTCTGAACTTACAGCTTCTTCACAGCCGGAGAAGGAAGGCCAATTTCGGCCTCCAGTCTTCGTAGGTGTGGATGGTGTCGATCACATCATGCGCATGTCTGCGTACCTGAACGGCGAGGCTCAGCCAATTCATGCACATGAACTAGCCGTCGCTCGAGACTATGCCAATCTCCTATCAGGCAAGACCGATCTGCCAAACGGTGGTATGGTGATGGCTTCCACATCCGCCTCCACACGACCCTCGGTGCCCACCCTCGACCATATCCTCAGCCGTAAGGTAGCGAGTCGTCAGCTGAAATCCCTCCTCACCATCCGTGATACATTGAGACAGCAAGCCGATGGAGCAGCCGCCACGCAAGACATAGATATCTCGCCTCTCGAGTCCTTCAACACCTTGGCGATCGAAGATGCGGTCCTCCGGCGCCAAGTCTGCGACTTCCGCGACCGCGTCCAACGTCTCTGGAACAATTCCGCTCCGCTCCCCAAACTCCGCTCCGCCCTCGAAGCAACAACTTTTACCCTACCAGAATGGAACCCCTACATCGCTATCGATCAACGAGTCTCCGACGTCATGGAGATGGTGGAGGTGAGGAAAGTGCAGGGGTTGAGCAAATTGGAGGCGAGGGGGGTGATGGAGTATTATGCCAGGAGCGGCATGATGCGGTCGGCTGTTACGGAGGGGTTGGTGAGTGAGCAGTGGAGTTTGGCGGGAAATGGGATTGTGGGGGAGTTGGAGAAGGCTGCTGTTATGACTAGATTTTGATGTGGCGTGGAGGGGAAGTGGGAAGGGTGGAAGTGGTGGGTTGTAGTATAGCCTTTGTAGGGATAGATATGACCGCGATTCAGAAGACCTCATCGCCGCATCAATATCGTGCTTACCCCGACCCTAACCCTTCTCATCTCCACTTCCCGAGCCCCGCAGTCAACAAACACGCGTCCGGATCCTCACAACAACTGCGTACTTTCTCCCCAAGTCTGTTGCCGACATCAGCGATCATGGTTGCATGTTCGGACGCAGCGAGATCAGTCGAGCCGAGCAGCATACAGCAATGGTAGTACCAACAGTCTCGAGAGAGTTACACCCGCGCGCCACAAGCGATGTCAGGGGCTATTGCTGGCGAGTACAACCATTTAATTTCTGCATATGATTATGATCAGCAAAGCGAGACGCCTCATGCCATGATCGACGGGGCAATTCTGTCTCATGAGTGAACCACTTTCATCGCAACGCCGCCAGAACGTTCGGGTGACAAGCCAGTACCTTCGTAAACGGGCGGGATTGGACGCCCTACCCGGTCTCCTCAGCTACCTCTTATAGGTACCCGCCCAGAGTCAGCTTACGATGGTGTGAGCTTTGTTGTTACTCAAGCGAACGGGTAGATGCAGCTGCAGACGCGATGGCCTGTTCTGACACACCATGTCCCTTTGCAATTGACATGTGCGCGAGCTGCTGTGTTGCAGGCACGTACCTCACCGTACTTGCACCTCTTTCCATTGTTTGTCTTTGTTTTCAATTATGCTATAACACTGACGGCAGATTACCACTACTCTGATCCTACGACGTAATGTCTCTGGGCTTGGCTGGAAATCGACTATGGATTGCTGTGACTGGAGGCATTCTTCTGATCATCCTTGCGTTCGCGAGCGTGTCGACATATGGCAAGGCGCCGTCACTACGCCTGAAAGCACCTGGCTCGCGTGCAGGAGAAAGCGGAGGAAGTCTGCAGGATGTTCATAATGCGACGCTTGGTGTCAGTTTTCGCCACCTACGAGCTACCGGGCATCTGACTGACATCTGTTTAGTTCCAGAAGATTTTCGCCATCAACCTGCCTTCGCGGACAGATCACCGCGACTCCATATCCTTGGCTGCACACCTCACCGGCTTGCAAGTGGACTACTGGGATGGCGTAACCTCACTTGAAAGCAAGACTCTTCCACCAGGTGGCGAGGAGTTCACGTCCAAAGGTGCTTTGTTTGCGTGGCGAGCACATATGAATCTTCTACGGCAGTGTGTTTACCTATTACGATATACAATCCAATCACAAGCTGACCTTGACACTCCAGCATTGTCGAGAATAACATCACGACCGCACTCATCGCGGAAGACGACATTGACTGGGATATCCGGATCAAGTCGCAGATGGAAGACTACGCTCGAGCTTCGAGAGTAGTGCTCCAGACGACCTCTTCAGGACCAGCAGACGACTACTACGATGCCGACTACACATCAGCTGGAGGTGCTGTGATTGACTACAATGTAGTCGAGCACCCCACGACTGAGCCTACCAGCTCTCCGTACGGCGAGATAGAAACTTGGGACATCTTCTGGCTAGGTCACTGTGGCGTCAAGATGCCGACGCCTTCGGACAACCTCCCGACGAACCGCGCAGTAATCTACAACGACCCTACAGTCCCAGAAACCCAACACATCGACGCCGAATTCGGCGATCGACAACTCGTAGACGGCTACCCCAACCACACCCGTATCGTCTCCCACGCTCACGACAACGTCTGCTCACTAGCCTACGCCATCTCCCTGCCCGGCGCAAGAAAGATCCTCTACGAACTAGGCATCAAACGTATCGACCGTGCCTTCGACCTTGCCCTCACCAGTGTCTGTGGAGGCACAGACCGAAGACCTCGCGCGACGTGTTTAAGCGTCATGCCGCAGATCTTCGCCGGATATCACCCTATTGCTCTGCGGGCGAGTCTGTCGGATATCGGGACGCCGGAGCATGGGGATGAGTATACGACTGTGGCTTTTAGTAAGAATATTCGGTGGAGTACGAGGGGGAACTTTGAACAGCTTGTTTATGGACGGAAACAGTATACGGATACCTTTCGCGACGGAGAACCGAAACCCGATCTTGGGGAATGATGGCGGGTTGTGAAATGTTTGCTAATATCTTACTGCGTATACCCCGAACAATCTACCAGTCAAGATATCTACACCATGCTTCGGGCCAGGCACAGCCCATCACCCTCACACCCCACCCAACCCATGCTCCCTCAAAAACCCCTGCACCTGCACATCCACCCCACCCTCTCCCGCACTCCTCGCCAACCTGACCACCTTCAACCCCTCCAACGACCTCGCCCGCGACAAAGCCACATACACCATCTCCCTCTCAAACGAATTATATAAATCCACAATCACCCGGTTCAACGTCATCCCCTGACTCTTATGCACCGTGATGGCCCACGCCGCTATCATCGGGGTCTGCGTCCGACAGAGGTACGAGTAAGGTTTCTCCGAGCCGTGTTCGCTGATCTGGCAGGCGGCGTAAATGGGTTGGATGTGGCCGTTCTGGAATTCGACGATGGGCCATTGGGTGACTTTGTTTTTGGTTATGAAGTCCCGGACTTGGTCGTCTATGATGGCTTCGCGGTCGGACTGGGCGGCCTTCTCGAGGGTTCGGCGTTTGTTGCTGCTGGAGCCGTGGTCTGGAGAACCGGGTTCTTTGGGTGGAAAGACTTTGGCGTCGGAGTGCTTTTCGAAACCGATGATGCGGCCTTGACTGCCGTTGACGAGGCCAACGGTGAAGTCGAGGTTCACGAGGAGGATGACGAGCATGCCTTCCTTTAGTTCTACGTCCTCGTCGAAACGGTGGTCTTTTTGTGCTTCCAGGGGACCGTCGGGGCGGGAAGGGTAGCGGGGCTTGGATTTCCATTGGAGATCCTGCTCCATTCTGTTGCGCCATATGAAGTCGTCGTGGCATGAGTACTTTCGGATGGGCGATTTGAGGCTGAGGAAGTTGCGGGTGTTCTTGGTGGCGACTTCGTTTCTGCGAGGTAGGAGCTTGACGGCGCCGATTGGGTCGGGTTTGGGAGTGAGCAGAATTGCTTGGTCGCTGGCGGTCAGGGCTTTGCCGTAACGACATCTGCATACATGTCAGTGCAGCTCGCCAACATGGCGGTGGTGTAGCATACTTCTGCAGTATATCAATGAAAACGTTATCAGACTGCCGGTGAATATGCTTCAACTCAAAGTACTGGAACCTGCAAGCCTTCCATACATCGGAGCAGAAAGCCCACTTCTCCTCATCCTTATACACCCGCTTGCACTTTAGACATGTGATGGGTCTGCCGTCTTGCATCTTATGTCCAGGCATGTCGTCTCCACCACAGTGCATACAGTACTTAAACGGACGGACTGGAGGCAGCTGGCAAAAGTCACCAGTAACAATGACTTGTGCACCGCCAAACGGAAAGCTCACACCGTGTTGAGATTTCCGCTTCTGACCTCGCTCCGGTACCAAGGCCTGTCTGACTTCTCTCATCATTGCATCCAGTCGATGCAGCAGATCGCGGTCGACCATGGAGATCTCGTCGATAACCAGGACATCTGTCTCGCATAGCCGACGGCGAACCTTCTTACCCCATGACTTCTTCAGGAACTCGTGCAGCGGTTCCTTGAACGAATCCGGATTCCAGCCAGCATAAGCCTAGATCGTCATACCGCCGACATTGTGAGCGGCGATGCCAGAGGGCGCGACGATATCGACATGCTTGCCTTGCGCTCTGAGAACCTTGGTAAATGCTTTTAGCACAGTCGACTTGCCGGTACCTGCCGAGCCCGTGTAGAAGACATTGCTTCCGCGCTCGATAGCACTGATGATCTCAACTTGTTCTGGATGCAGAGGTGGCTCGGGTTCGTCTCGTGCGGTGGGTATGGGCTTGGATTGTGGGACAAATTCCATGGTTGGCGGAGAAGACGCTCGTTGTGCAGCTGCCGCAGCTGGAATCACAAGCGCAGTCTTGGGACGACATTGCCAGCACTGCCACCCTTCCGTAGGCTTTCGGTTGGAAAGGCCAACACACGCTTTGTGGAAGGTTAAGATAGAACAATATTGACCTGCACAGAATACTAGATCCTGGCCAGACACGACGCCTTTCTGGCATGAACATATTCCAAGGACTTGTGGCTCAATTTCAGTATGTACTGTCTCTGAGCCGGACTGAACAGCCGACGGCATGGACATTGCTCGTGACCATGAGATCAGAGGCTCGAGTTCTCGCTGCCTCATCCCAGCAACGTGAGCATCCTGCGGTCCAGGCACGATCTCTGGAGTGTCCTCATCATCAGACCCAGTCAGATTCACGACTTGTCGTGCTGCTCTTGCAGAGTGATCTCTAGCGGGTCCTGGGCCGGCGGTCAAAGGCGTGCGGTCTGTTGGCAACAACGTGTACTGAGGAGGACCACAAGTAAAGACCGGAGGCTGAGGAGTCGTCTGACTGTGGATCTGGTCTACATGTACAGGGGATGGCCGCGACAGTCCGTTCTGTGAAGGCCACGGCTCAGGAGGATTCTGGTTGATTGCTTGATTTGGCTGATAGCCAAGCACGTACGTTGGCTGTACATTCCAAGCCGAGTATGCAGGCTGAGTATGGAGCTGCGAAGGACCGTACCCGTGTCGCTGGTTTTGAGGGTGTACCTGTGGGCCGTTCTGGTCCATATACACAACAGGTGGGCCGGGATGATAAGGCTGCTGTATGTGTGCCTCGTCGTAGGTTCGATGGGGAGCCGTAGGCAGCAGAGGCAGTCCTGCCGAAAAGACCATCCTCGCGGGCTGAGGAAGCTCCTGCCACGGATAGGGGACATCTGCTGTTGTCACAAGAGCTCTACGATTACTGACTTTTCTGGGGGATGCAGACTTTGGCGGGTTGGGTCTCTCGGCTGCCGCTGCTGCAGATGCATGTACTGCACTAGCATCGTTCAGTCGATCACTTGGTGCTTGCGCCGCCTTTGGAGAAGCGAATTCGAAGACACCTGTGCCAGTGCTTCCACCAGCCACATTTCCAGAAACATGAACCAATGGCCTCCGCTCCTTCCGTGGCTTCTTAGCAGGCTGTCGTGCCGAAGCTGCGGATCCAGCCGATCGCTTCCGTTCAACAGTCTGTCCAGACAAGTATGAAGACCATGCTGCGCTATTGACACTGCTATCCGTTGGTGCTGATGCGGTAGCCTCGGGTCGTTTCCTCTTCGACAGGCTCGTGAACAGCTTCTCAGATGTCTTGCATCGTGAGTCGCCCCGATTCTCCTGCTCCGCTGCCGACATATCCAAGATCGAAGCAGATGGAGGTCTACTACAAACTCACGAGTCAGTCGGTACAACCATCGTCAACTTCCTCCAAGTCGTCTCGCTTGATAAAGTGAAGGGACGCGTCTCACGCGTTTTAAGCTTTGGCTCAAGTCCGTCAATCATTGATTGGCTGTTCCCACCACAGTCTACCCCGCGTCCCCCAGCCCGATAAGCGATGGAGCTTATCGCCCTACAACCACGAACCTTACATGTACACGACAAGACGACTACTTCTCTCGTTCACAGCCATCTCGTACCACCCACCAGCTCTCCCCTATCTATCTCTCCACCATGCTCCCCCCACGCCCCCTCCTCCGGCCCACCCCCTCCACCCTCACCCTTTCAGCCCCACCAAAAACCCGCACTTTCACCACAACCCCACCTCGCGAGGCATCCGTCCTCTTCGCCCTCCACGCCCTGTCCAACAGCCGCGAAACCCAACACCTCAACAAAATCTCCCACTTAAACCGCATCGAGCACTCTCCCAACCTCAAACTCATCAAGACCAGTGAAGTCGATCCCTTTCCCCTCCCTACCACCCCACCACGACCCGCGACCCCACTGTTCCGCCCCGTTCATGGAACACCTGCTAGCTCAGCAGCGAGGATATGGGACGACCGAGCTCTGCGAGTCGGGCGGGTGATCCTAGCCGATCAAGCGCGAAGAACACACAGACTCCATCGCTTGCTCCGACGGGCTAAGCACAGATCTTCCCTCACCCAGATCGCGACGGAACTCGAACGCGACATCTGGCGCCAAGAAGCGCAAAAGCATCGTAGGGAAATGCGATCAGCTGGTCTTCTCATCCTGGCTAGCGTGGGCGTGGCTACGGGGTTGGCGACGTGGAGGTTTTGGCCTGGGGACGCTTCGAGGGTGGATTCGGGGGAGTTGAGGAGGAGGATTGCTGCTAAGGCTCAGCGGAGCCTGGAGCCTTTGAGCAGTATTGCGAAGGCTGGGGTGGGTGTAAGCGGTGTGTCGAGTGAGGTGGGTGCGGGTGCGAGAGGTGTAGTGGCGGCGCCTGCAGCAGCGGCTGCTGAGCCCGGACTTACTGAACTGCCGCCTGCAACGGTCGCACCAGAGGCCAAGACACAGACGGGGCATTGGTGGAAGGGTCTATTCTGGAAGCAGCAATGATGTCCAACCCGTGATCCTTTGGCCGTCGGAGGCTATCGAACTCCTGGCAGCGTCGACTTGCTAGGACGAGAGAGACATGAACGAAATGTAGATGACGAGATGTTTTCATGACTTACGGGCGCTACTGATTGCTTTACTTTGCAGTAACTGCCGGCGGGATACCAGGGCTTCGTTTTCAGTCGACTCTCTTGTTCGGGATGGAGTTGAGTAGCATGCGAGTGGAGCTCACGGCGATGCATTTGTTCTCTATCTCTCTGTACTGTGCATGCAGCACTTACATATCGTGCATCTTCTCACCAGCGAGCAAGACCCACTTCTGCCCGGCTCTCGCCATATGTTGAACGAACAACGCCAAGCACCTCGCTAAAACTTCAGCAAATTCTCGCAATGATCTCGTGGCTGTCCTCCTCGACGAGATATACACCGCCATGCATCGTTCTGCATCTCATCATAAATCATCTCCTCGAACCTCGACCTCAACCTCCGTAATCACGCCACCCCCCACCAACCCCATTCCCGACTTCACCTCCCCAGTTCCCGCCCTTACCCTTCGGCACTCCCAACCCAGCCAACGAAACATTAACCCGATGCAACCTCAACAACAACGTCCTCTCCACCTCCTCCGCCACCCTCTTCGCCTCCTCATGCGCCGCACTCCTCGCCTCCTTCCGCGGCGCCACCAAAACCCCTTTCACGACATCCAATCGAGCATCCAACTGTTTCGTCTCGATCATACGGAGGACTTCCTCCTCCATCATAGCTGCTGCAGAGGATGAGGAGGAGGAAGAGGAGGAGGATAGGGCCGGTGGGAAGGTCGTGGCGAGCGCTGAAAGGGAGACCTGGGAGAAAGAGGAGAAGTAAGCCGTAATACTCTTCTCCCTGATCCTTGCGAAGAGGAGGTCGACATGTGAGACCCCGTGTCTGGCCGACATGGCCTGCGCTCCGAGAAAGATATCCAGACTCCAATCGCTATAGTATCGTCTTAAAGTATCAAGACAGGCCTGGTACTTCGCCGTCGTGTACAGGGAGATGGCTTTCCGCATATGTGGCTCCAGCTCCAGAAACGCACGGAAGTTGCCTCCGAGCACGAGATCGATCAATTCCTGACGTGAGAGAGTGGCGAGAGAGCAGAGCCCGCCGTAAATGGCTATATCGTTTGCGCTTGCAACAGCGCGACCGAAATCGGCGCCGTGAACGGGTCCGATGGTGTTGTATTCTTTTGGTGTGGCGAGGAAGGCGGCTGCTGCATCGCGGTAGTTCCCTTGGCTTAGTTGGGCGATGCCGGACATGGCTGTTGCGATGGGAGTGAGTTTGATCTGTTCTTCTTCTTTCACGCCCGAGGTGCGAAGGCGGGAGCTGGTGGAGAGGACGTTGTTCCAGTTCGTGCCGGCGGATGAGCCGAGCTGTTGCATGCTTACGGCTTGCAGGATGGCGGTGTAGATTAGACGGAGGTTCATGCTTGCCATGTGGGTGGGTGTGGTGCAGTAGTCGCGCATTTTGCCAAAGGCTTGGTAGGCGGCGTTGTAGCCTGCGGCGTTTGTGGAGAGGGGATTGGCGGGGTCTGGGAGTGGACCGCCAGTCGCTAGTTGGTGGTTTGCCATGTCCTCTTGGCCCATACGGATGCTTTCGCGGATGAGGTTGTTCTTGTAGCCGCGCAGCTCGGACTCGAGTTTGCTCAATTGCCGGCGGTTGCCTTCTTCTTGCTTGGCGATGTGTTCTTCGTCGGGCGTGCCGATATCGGAGAAGCCGAGTTGGTCGGCGAGCTCGCAGATACGGGTGTAGAGGCGGACGTCTTTGCCTTCCTTTGCTGTGGAGATGGCCATGGTCATGGCCTGGCGGGCGAGCGTCGGGCAGTGGATGGCGACGTGGGAGAGGCGGAGAGGGAGGAGGGCGCCTGTGAGGTTGTGTTAGTATTTCCATTGCGCTCGAGTATAGAGTCATGGTCTTACCCTCATAATGTGTTGCCCAGATATCGAGATCGAAGGTGGGTGGAGCGAGGTTGAAGTTGCCTGCGGTGGATGAGCTCTCGTGCTTCACCCTCTTCGGCGGGCTCTCAATACCGTTGGAGGCCATGATGGACAAGGAGTGTAGAAATATACGTGATGATCCGTACGTCGTGGGCGCTTCGGCCGGCTGTGTATTTCTTTCAAGGTCTCATGTGAGTGAGCTCAAGCATGCACCTAATGAATGGTTGGTTTGTGGCGCGGATCTCGGTTGCGTTGTCGAAAGAACTCGATGGCGTAGGTTGTGGACAGGTCGTTATGCGTGGGAAAGAGTGCGACTATGCCGTGTGCAAGATATGTGGTTGCGGCAATGTTTGGGTGCCTGTAGCTTGTCCCACTCACGATGTGCTTGAGGCTCAAGCTCCATGCATAAGCTAGTGAGCCTCAGGTTCTCAGAGAGCGCGACTTGTTATTAATCATAATCTCCGAGCTTTAAACTTCGTCTTTTTTTTTTATATTAACGTGACTGTGCCTAGTAACGTGGTTGTTTCTACTACGTAGCTATCTCTAGTAACGTAGCTATCTTCAATAATATACATCTATATCTAGTAATATAATTATATCTAAAGTAGAGTATCTACTTTATCTACTTTTAAAGTAGAAAATAATTCTATTTAAATAATAATTATCTATTATAAGGTATTAATAGCTAGTCTTAAACTACCTAGTAGACTACTAGTTATATAGTAGCTTAGCTATTATCTAGCTATTAGATAAATATAAGAACTATAAGGCTTACTTACTATAAGGTATAGCTACGCCTATAGAGGCTCTTATATAACCTATATATAATCTATAGAGAACCTATATATAGTCTATAGTAGTATAGCATTATTTTATTACTAGCTATAGAGGCGTAGAGTAGAAGAAGAAGAAGAAGAAAAGAGTCGAGCATAGACTCGACTCTCTTCCCTCTTTAAGTTTACTATTATACTTTCTAGTATAGTAAGAATACTATAACTAGACTATAGGTATACTATACTAACTATAATCTCTATTCTGTTCTTTACTATATATAAGGTGTCGTACTACATCTACAGTATCCTGCACGTGACCGCAGGGGGACCGCAGGCTGTCTGCAGTCAACCTAGGTTACGTGATATATTCCGGCCCCCCGTAGGGGGTCCGTAGGGTGTCCAATCCGGACACCTAACAGAACATATTAGCTCCCGCATTAAGCGAGGGTGTCAAGACCCTCGCGGGGGACTAGTAGCACGTAACCACCGGAACGCTTACAACGGGCGCTCCCGTAAGCGTACACTTATAAGGTGCGATCTAGACGCTCTACGCGAGAGGTCGCACCGGGCGCGCGAGGCACGACCTAGTAGATATATATAAGCACGAAGGTGTTAGTAGTTAGGAGCTTCGTGCTTAACCTTAAGTATAGGAGTTAGCGATAGGTTTTACCTACTACTAATTAGTTACGCTTCTATCTACGCCTTAACCGTCTACGCCTAGTTACCTTCCTGCCCTATTAGCAACCCCTTATAATATTTTAAGCACTACTTCTAGGGAAGTATTAGGGGACACTTAAAATTACTAACATTAGCGTATATCTAGTACTACATCGGGAAGTAGCGTTAAATTAGAGGTTTAGACGCTATTACCCGACGACAACGATCGAACCGTCGACTTAGTTACTAGCTAGATCGAGTAGGTATATATAGCCGATATATCGACTATAGGATCTACTACGGGGACCGCTAGGGTAGCGGGACCTAAGGCTAATAAGCCGTAGGAATTTACCGGCAACTAGCGATAGTTTAAGACGTTTAAGATATAGTGCTTGCTTATATTTAAGATGCACTATAAACAGTTCGGCACTTAGACGAAGAGGCTAATATTTATCTCTTCGTACCTTCGAGGACCGGCCGCCGAGTAGATTCAGCCTTATCTAGAAGATTACTTAGGAAACGACTAGCCCTCGGACCGTCGTATAACTACTAGGGAGATTTTCTCTACGGAAGTAACGATACTTACTAAAATCGAAGAGACCTTCGGTTAGGGTAATAATCGCTTCGAAGCCGAACGAGATCTACGATAGTATAGATAGAGAAACTCCGCTACTAAGTATAAAGTAGAGTTTTAGACTCTTATACTTAGGACCGGATAGAATAATACCGCCCTCGTAGACGCGTTCTATATAGGTCTAAAGGAAGGAGTTAAAGACGAGATCGTTCGATAGGGTCGACCTAATACGTAGGTCGCTATATTCGAACTCGCTATTAAGATCGACACCCGTCTCTAGGAGAGACAATAGGAAAGGTCTAAAAGGATCGTAGTACGAACCGCTAACTCGGGATAGTAGAGGCAGCCCTAGAAGTAGCGAAACGACTACTATAGGCTATAGCCTATAGAATTAGACGCTACTCGCGGACAACCTAAGAGAGGACGACAAGGAAAGCCTAAGTAGGGTCCGCGACAATACTATAAGGCTATAGAACGGAAGCCTTTTAATAAGTCTAATCTCGAGTACTATAACTATAGCAAGAAAGGACATTTTGCTCGCGAATACTAGGCAAGGAAGTAGATTTATAACCTACGACGACCTAAGTAGGTTCGCGCTATAAAGCCCGTACTACAAACGGCAGCGGCTACTAGAGTAATAGATTACTCTAAGTTAATATAGACGTTATACTACGACGATAACTGTTCTATTTACCTAAGCGATAAAGACGGATCGGGATAGTTTCTACGAAATAAGAAGGCATAATCTATATGCGTACTACGAGGAACCCTATCTACCGCTCTAACGACAACGCCGGTTCTGCGACACGAGGTCGAGGAGTCCGATAAAGACTATAAGATAGTCGAGGAAATCGAGGAGTCCTCCGAGGAGGAACTATGCGATCCCCGCCCCGCGAACAACATTATTCGCTAGGACCTCGCCGACAGAGACATTAGTATAAACTACCTACGGATAGTCCGATTATATTAGCCTAAGGCTTGCCCCTAGGTTAACGGAGTATAATACGTAGATTAGGAGCGGTACGACTCTATAATTACGTCTCTCCGCCGATAGATACGGGTTTTACCTATAGTTCGAGGACCGACCTCCTATAGCCGAATAGTATAGGAAGTTGTGCCGTTCGGAAGCGAGTTTACGCCGCGCGGAGGATACTTCACCCCCGATAGGATTAATGTACCCTACGCGCTACGCCGCGACGTCGACGACCTAAAGGCTAGGTATACGCGTAACGCCGCCGAACAATAGGGTAGAACTAGGGTTCTACCTCTGTCGTTACTAGATAAAAGTTGTTTTCCTTTAGTCCTAGTTCGAAGAGGAACCGGACGACGAGCGGGAAACGACGAGGTCCGCCGAAATTAGACCCTCGGACGGACTAAGGAGGGCTATAACGATGTACTACGACTAAAGCTAGGTACGTAGACAACCTTAGAGTATAGGTGTATATTAACGACTAACTAGCCCGGGCGCTAGTAGATTTAGGGTGTACTAGAATCTTTATAACGCTAAAGTTCGCTAAGATAGCGAAGATCTACCTATACGCGAAGGAGAACGCTTTCCCGCTACACGTAATCGATAGAAAGCCGGTTACGTACAACAATAGATTAGTTAACGAAGAGACCGAGATAGTACCTCTACGGATAGGACGCTATCGAGAGACGATCTAGTTCGATATTACGGAGTTACCGGGCTCGGATGTAGTATTAGGACTACTATAGCTAAAGAACGCTAACCCTTACGTCGACTAGAAAGCTAAGAGAATCTAGTTTCCGGAACTCTTAGAATCGATACCTCTACCTATAGTGCGGGACGCACTAGGCAAGATCGAAATATGTGCGGTAACTTCCGACGAGATACTAAAGAACATCCTAGACCTAAAATAGGACGTCTAGGTCCTTTAGGTAAAGGCTACCGGATCCGATATTACGATCGACTTCCTAGTTCCGGACGAATACCGAGAGTTCGCTACTCTCTTCGAACAAGAACCTAACTAGGAAGCGTTACTAGAACATTAGGAGTAGGACTACGAGATACCCCTACTCCTAGGTAGGACGCCTACGAAACAATTAGTTCGGCCGCTATCCGCGGCTAAACTAGAAATACTACGGAAGTATTTAGAGGATAACCTCCGTAAAGGATTTATTCGCGAGTTATAGTTACTAGTAGGATACCCTATCCTATTCGTCCCTAAGGGTAAGGACGACTAGCGACTCTATATTAACTACCGTAGACTAAACGATATTATAGTAAAGAACAGTTATCCCCTACTACTACTATTAGAATTGCAAGATCGCTTATAAGGCGCGGTATAGTTCTCGAAGTTCGACATACTAGGAGCGTATAATCGAATTCGAATTAAGATAGGCGAAGAATAGAAGACCGCGTTCCGGACTCGGTTCGGATACTACGAATATATAGTTATACTATTCGGGTTAACGAACGCCCTAGCGAGCTAGCAGGCTTTTATTAACAGTATATTACGAGAATATCTCGACGTCTTCGTAGTAGTCTACCTAGATAATATCCTCGTTTACTCCCGAACGCTCGAAGAATATAAGGTACACGTACGTAAAGTATTGCAGAAGCTATAGGACTATAAGCTGCGGGTTAAGCCGCAGAAGAGCGAGTTTTATAAGTACGAGGTACACTTCCTAGGCTACGTAGTAGCCTAGGATAGCATTAAAATAGACACTAAAAAGGTCTATATAGTAAAGGAGTAGCCGATACCAACTAACGTTAAGGAAGTATAATCCTTCCTTAGGTTCGCTAACTTCTATCGGAGGTTTATTACGAACTACTCCCGAATTACGGTACTACTTACTTTACTTACTACTAAAGATACCCCGTTCGTATAGGAGAAATCCTAACGAGAGGCATTCGAGGAACTTAAGCTTCGGTTTACTAAGCAACCTATATTACTAGTATTTAACCCGGACAAACCTATTACCGTCGAAATAGATGCCTCCGACGTAGCGCTAGGGGCATGCTTAAGTTAACTAGGACCGAGTAGACGACTACAACCCGTAGTCTACTACTCGAGGAAGCTATCTAGACCCGAGCTCCGCTACGACGTCTATAATAAGGAGCTTCTAGCTATAGTAGAC